TTGCTTTTGAAATAATGGCTTTTCAAAGATTAGTGTAAATACAGGGTATTTCCTCTCGCACTGGAGTGACTGTCATGACGTCTATCACAATACAGACTTATTTTTTTATCTATATTCGTCCTTGTTTGACAATAGTTCTTTGCCAGTATCTCTACATCGTYCTTGGGTATTGACATAATGAAAGGCAAACTGTAAAAAGTTAACGGAAATATTGTATGKTGTGGCTCCCGCATGTATAGTGAAGGCCAGCTGAGCTTTATCGATTTACGACTGTGAATTCTATCTATGGTTCCAATATCCCCAAGACTAAGCTTATATTTTTCAATACACGATATCTTCCGTCCTATATTGTGTCCGTTATCTTTTAATATCCTCAATTTTTTTGTCTTTGCTTTGAAAAGAGATAAAATTCATCTGTTCGAAGTTCTCTAGTGAGAACATTTGAAGTAAAATGACTCATTTTCTTTGAAGAATTGTCACGAGACTTTGCACGAAAATGGATGCATCACCTTGTGACGTCATGAAGACATTGCGCCGATAAGGAAAATAAGAAAATTAAAAGAATTAATCATTTTTAGCAACTGGCMCGATCGTTTAAGCTATATTGGGCTTAAAATCTTAGCAAATTACGTTTTTTTTTTCAGTCTGTAAGCCACAGCTTTGATTTTAATGTTTAAATGACTAATATGTTTTTCAGTTTCCTACGGAGATTGATCAATTTTCCACCGCCAAGCTGCGCCGCGGTTTACAATATGAATGTTTTTTATTTGAAATCTAAAACAAACAAAAAATGGACAGAAAATATTGCTTTTTCAATTTGACTTTTGGTTTTATAGTGTAATTGAGATGTACGTCAAGGAATAATACAAATAGAATAAAATATAATGAAATTRATTGTACAACATCAGTAGAATGCTAATCTTACCTTGGAAATAAAAAAATATTTCAAAATATTCGTTTCATCTCGGTTTTTCAAATTCAAAACGAATCAAAAGGGAATTGTTTGGCTGGGTTAATTTCAAGGCTTGCTAACTCATTCCTTTTATTTCAAGTAATGAGTAATTTCGAAAATCAATTTAAATATAGTTTGTTTAATATAATCCTGAGGATCTAAAATTTACATCATTCAAGTCTCTAATATCTCTCTCTCTCGTGCGAATACGTATATTTTTTGCTGTAAGTGAAGCAAATACCTCAARCCCTGAATATGTATACCACCTCAAATTTTACCATTTCCCTAAGTCCTCATTAGTACTTGAATTACAATGATTATAAAGTACAATATTTGTAATCTGTTATGATTGTACATATTATATATTAGTCCATATGCATAAATGATCTACGACTGTTTTTTGTTTTTTGTTTTTTTCCACAAGTCAAAATAGATCTTAAATTAAATTAGAAGAAGCCTGTTCAGTACTATTTCAGCCTGTTATTTTCATATTCTGTGAAATATCAGTTCTCTATTCTCTAAATGTCTGTCCCCATCTTATCCAAAGTGCTACATCTACTCGAGGAATTGTTGGCTGGCGTGGAAGAGCCACCGTTAGAAAGCCTCATCCATCCRCTTGCATTTCGCACCCATTGACGAATGATCTTTTTGTATGCAGAACGAAAATGATCTATGCGRAAACTATAGATCATAAAGTTCATGGACGAATTGATAAGCAAGATAGTTCGTATCCACATGTATGGCACTCCACTAAGAGTTCTTAGTAGACCCCTCTTCATGGAGACGTAAAATCCCAATAATGGAAACCAACAGACAGAGAAGACGACAATKACAATGGCAATAGTTCCCGCAACGCGCCTCTCCATTCGCGCGTCTCTCGAAAGTGCGCGCGAATCGCTTGGATGCTTGCTACGATTGACTCTCTCACGTGTGATTTCAAACAGGATTATGGTATACGAGACTGTAATGGTGAGGTAACTTATGATGATCAAAGCGACAGACAGAAACAGTGTTTCTGGAAATTGAACACGAATGCATACGAAAAGAAGTGCAATTCCCCAGCAAGAAGCCAACATAGCGCGTAATCCGTATTTCCCCATGATGTTCTGGTAATCGTGAGGCTTCGCTATGATAATTGCACGGTCCACRCTGATGGCTGCCAGATGGAATAGCGAGCAAGAACAAGARAAGTTKGCGACSACATCATACGCGTAGTCAACTGGGGGAACACAGTAATGACCAAACGTCTTCACGGCTACTGTAATGGCTTGCATRGGCTGAGCAAATATCGCCACCAATAAGTCAGCTAAGGCGAGACTCAGAAGCAAGAAGTTTGAAATGCGACGTAGTTTTGGTGTCTTTAGTACTACCAAGACGATGAGGATATTCYCAATGGTTCCAAAAATACTGAAAATGATGTTCAGAAGGACTATTGGAATACCATGCGCAAGAGGAAGAACACAGCTTTTCGCAGCATCAACGCTGCTTACATTTCCCGACTGAATGGACGAGACTATCTCGTAGATTTTGCTCGTATTGTTATCAGTATCCAATATTTCTGTCATTTTTTTCAACTATCAGAGCTCTCCAAGGAGATTGCAGGTACACCTCGCAGTTGCTGTCTGTAAGTAGAATGCCAAAAAGGTGTGATTTCACAATCTAATTTAACCAAAATATCATGTGATCCAACAATGCGAGTACTTAACCTTCCTGATRTGTGGMTTAYGTATATTTGGCGACCGCTGTCAATACTGCCSCTRCTTGAAAGAAAGGGAAMAAACCGTTGAAAAGATTACGTCTAACGTAAATCCTTGAGATGATTCTTAATCTTATATATGATGGGTGATAATCTGCTTAAAWATCGCAACATCGTCATTTAGAAGTCCTTGGGTCCATAACAGTTTATTGAAATTTTATTTTCTTGCCAGCGAATCAAAAATAGGAATGATTAAAATAATTTATYGAAGRAGTTAAATTTTAATAGAGCAACTGATGCCTGCTGTTTTGTATTCGTTAATGAATATGGATATTTTCGTTGTTCTGAAGTGCAGATGTCATAGTGGCTTCTACACTTCCTTTCAACCTCGCGGCATAAACTCTAAAGAAATGTAACTAGAAAGGCTGAAAAAGAGTAATTACAATTCTTACAATCTCAAACAAAAATCATGACCAGTTAGAGATAGATAGACTTTTAATTCCTCACTGTMGTAACTTAATAATATTTTTGAAAACTGCTATCCGTGGTAATGACTTTTGACAATCAGATTCAACCAACATCCGAAAATTGCTTGATTACAATGACACGGACAATGCTGATCCGGTTCACTTGTCCGATCGGAAAAAGAAAATAATTGGCTCTTTCTTTGTGTTCAAAGCCTGGAGGCTTTAGCGATCATTGTGGTGTTTGTATCTATATATGATATTTTCTAACGTATATTTCCAGCACTTTTTTAACAGATGTTAATCGATGGTGTGAAAAGGAATTAGGACAAAGAAATTTGACACATTCTCTATTAGTAATAGCCACAAATTAAGCCTTCTCAAAAMTTCAGCTTGTTTKTAYTTTCACTCTTTYCTCGGCKTCTTTTGACTCTAAAAACTKATAAACCGAAATAAATGCYGWCTTAGAATTACCCAAAACAATTTTAGTACAATTTGTAATCATTTAGAMTGGTAGCGGGGGCTAAAAGTGCTTTTCGTGGTTTTCGTTTACCTTAAAATCTTATGAATAATTAATATTCTGCTTGCACTAGTAATTAACTCGAGTTTCTTAAATATTTAATGTAGCCTTTTTTAATTATAAAGTTAGGTTAACTGACAGAAAAAGCACACTTCGAATAAGAGTTGWCAACTTCAAAGTCAAGCATGCAGTCTGAGGTCGAAAGGCCTTATGGGAGTTGTAACTTCGATAATTCTGACATTGACTTTTAAGTCCATCGTAACTTGAACYAAATGTAATAAGGAGAAGAAACAAAAGACTCTGGTAATTTGCAATGAATTCAATACAATTGAGGCGTCCATAATCACCGTAAATATGAATAAATTAAACTATATTGTTTAGCTATTATATCTAGCTCATATGCAAATGTTTTACCATGTATCCTTTAGAGACTTCCTCGGCATCTAATTCTATGATTTGGAACTCGATAATGCTTTTTTCAGTTTTGTTGTTTGAATTACATTTTAACTGACAGGAGACTAAAAGAATTCTAACAGAAATGAGCGGCAGGTGACAACAGAGGAAATGCAAACTTGTCAACGTTTTACCAAAACACGTGTAAAAATATAATATTCGAAAAGTTAAAAATAAATAAATAGGATATTTCAATTAAATAATACCCAAAATCGATTATAGAAAAATATTCTCACTGAAAAAAAAAAGAAAAAGAAAAAAAAAAAAGAACTCTGGCAGCGGTGGGATTCGAACCCACGCCTCTTACGAGACTGGTGCCTTAAACCAGCGCCTTAGACCGCTCGGCCACGCTACCTTGAGAACGACAAKTKARGCATTATTGAGAATYTTATTGCAAACCCGRGAATTCCGTCAATTTCCACAKCGGTAGCTGTTTTCCTAWATAGATTTTGTACAATCTTCACATGATTTTTCGTTTTTTTCAAGTCGGTAGTCAGTTTGAGGATTCGGTTCCTTTTTTCCCGCGATATTTCTGTTGCAGTGCTGTTATATTAGACACGTGTTCTGGACGTAATTTTTGTATACATCAAAACGTCTTTTTCTGCTGTTTATACTCCTGTTGTACTTTAATCGAGAAAACGAGTAGCATAAACAACATGTGTCTGCCACTACGGAGCTGCTTTATACTACAATCTATTTGAGTAGTGTACTCAAAAATATGTTGCAATAAAAGTCTATTTGATTCCTGTCAAATTGCGCATAATTTTCTTGCTATAGTCAGTATAGACAATACGCAGCTAACAAAAATGATCAGTTCCATCTGCTATAATTAGTTTTTAGCTATATATTACTGATAAAAGCACCCCCATCCCTTACAAAATGCTGGATTCGCCCCTGGAACCATACCCTATTCAAGACAAAATTTCAAAAATTGATGTCCTAACCCCGACGTAAAACAAATTAAATCCTTTGCACTGCTCCCTGTAAATCTCTACTGGATTCGATGTATTGTTACAAGACGAGAACTACAAGAAAAGGACGTTTCACTAAATAATATATTTATAGCTCCTATTTAGTTACATTCGGTATTTTATAATAATATATTCCTTTAAATATAACTTATACTAACATATGCGAACAGGTAATTTTTTTTCCTTTCCGTTTCATTTTTTCGTTTTTTTTCTTTTTCACTTTCTTATCTTGTTTTTGTTTTTATCTCTCCAGGCCATCGGATATCCAGGCACTCGACTCTCATAGCCGGGTCAAATATCGTAGTACATACGCTCTGGAAGTTACACGGACAATGCGAAAAGACATAATTTTCTAGAACAGAGTGATAGGAAATGTCTAATTCTTGCACTAAGTTTTCTACACGCAACGAATTTCAATACAATAATACAATGCAATGAAACTACAAAAAAAGGGAGTCAAGTGTAAGAAATGCATTTCCCATCATGCTTTAGTCGATGTGCCGCTTCATATTGCCTACTGTTGCCGAGAGTAGAGTGTATACTATTTACTGTCCATTTGAGAATATTTTCATAAATATAAACGTTTTTAGAGTAACTATTAACACAATTTAGAGAACTATTAACACAAAACCTACAATCGGAGCTACAAATCATTGTTATTGACCAATCAAATTTGAGCGTTTGACCCAAAGCTCTTTAAGAATGAAAATAGGCCAGTCAAATTTCAAATTGATAGACAATACGATTTCGGGAGGGCTATGATMTGATTCTGTTCTATATTTTACTGTCTGGCCACTTGAGTAAACCTGACCAATCAAATAACAGTACTTAAGAAAGTGACAGAGTTGATAAAACCGTCATCCAATCAGATCACAGTGYTCCCACATGTTCTCTATTWKTGATTKGCTTTTTCAAAATACYTAATCYGTTGAGCTCAAGGCTGCAATGTGAYTGGTTAATAATCACTAATTTGTTGAAGTGGTTCCGATTTCAGGAGAACACTATAAAGAATTGTTGTATTCAACCAGCAAAATACTAGAGTGTCGTCATTAAACCCGTGAAACAGATTTTACACTAATACAMCCTAGTACKCTCTAATTACATTGTKTTCTTTTGTKTCKATTTGACTATCACAMTTTAATAGTCAGATTTTGTTTAACAGGTTTAATGAACTCACTCTAAATGGAACTGTGAAGTCCTAATAAGATTACTTTACTAGAGGCGGTGATTCGTAAAACCTATCAGCCTCTAGTGTCTATAGAGAAAGTATGGACGCTTGCATTGAACCACTGATGCAGTAGTTTTATAGCTATAGAGATGGAATTCACGTGACGTAAGGCATTATTGTTCATTAGAGGAACRTAAGAAAATTTATTACTTTGGAATTCCATGCAGGATTTCGYATCACGCATAAGATTCACGATTTAGYGAGGCGTTTCCGTTSATGTTTGGAGTGCTGTCTCCTCGGAATAACACGTCATGACTGTGTCCCTGTTCGTACAACGCTTCGTACATGGGATTGATGAAGTCAACGTTGTGCCAAGAAAAATCGGAAATGAATTCATGGTCAGCAAGGAGAGCTGTTGATGATGATATGTTGTGGTGTAA